GTTGATCCGCATGCTTGGGGAGACCCTAAAAATGTTAAGCATTATATTGCACAAATTACAGAAAGTCTCAGCCAGCTACGCTCCTCCCACAAAGAATTTTACCAAACACGTGCCAAAGCCCTTTCTCGTAGAATTGATTTTTTAATTGAACAAATCAAAAGCGATCTCAAAAAAATTCCCAAAGAAAAGCGACAAATCATAACGGCTCATGATGCTTTTGAATATTTTGGAAAGCGCTTTCAAATAGAGTTTCTCACCCCTCTAGGCCTAAGCACAGATGCTGACCCTTCTGCTAAAGAAATTGTTCAACTGATTCACTTCATTCAAGAGCAAAATATTAAAACTGTTTTTATTGAAAATATGACCAATGAAGGATTGATCCGGCAATTAGCCGAAGAAACAGGTGTTCGTGTTGATGGTCCTTTGTATTCTGATGCTCTTTCTCCAGAAGATGGACCTGCTTCAAACTATTTCGCCATGATAGAACACAACTGGAACCTTATGCTAAAAGCGATGGAATAAGGAAGCTTTAAAGCCATGCGTACTCTCTACATAACACTTTCATTAAAGCTTTTTTGCTTTGCATGCTTTTTCTTTATCTTAACAGACTGTAAATCCACGCAGATTAAGAAAGCTCCTGGCTATTGGTACCAATATTTCCAAGAAAAACTTCTTCAAGAACCACATAATTTTGTAAAAAAAGGGGAAAAACTTTTATCAAATCTAAATGCCCCCTTAACCGTTATCGATTTAGGATCAGGGGCTGGCCAAAACATAAGGGATTTCCTAAAAAATGGTGCCACAGTTTACGCGTATGATGTCGACCCTGAATCCTTAGAAGTTTTGAAAGCGCGATTTCAAGAATTCATTAATCAAGAAACATTGTATCTTTATCAAAAATCTTTTGAGGGCATCACAAAGTTACCCAAGGCTGACGCAGTAATTGCGTGGAGGTCTCTGTCTTTTATGACGAAAGAAGATCTTTTAAACTTTTGGCCCATCATAAAAAAATCAATAAAAACCAATGGGCTTTTTATTGGAACGTTCTTTGGCGAAAAACACTACCTTAAACGAGGCGCTAAAAGTCTTCCCATTCATCGACTAAGGCGTAGAGAAGTTCTCAATCTTTTTAAAGACTTTAAGATACTCACTCTTCATGAAAATTTAGAGTTAGATGAAAAATCGTGTGCCTCTTGGGGAGTGCCTCAATATGCACATGTTTTCAAAATTATTGCAAAAATATAAATGCTTACTTAAAAATTAAGTTATTTTAAATTTTTTACTTTTTCAAAAAATCCTTTTTACAAAACTTCAATAAATTTTATTGGCCTCGCTTAGAGCGTTGTTTCACACTAATAATACTTCCTAAGATAATCGTAATGCCGATAATTTTTGGCATACTGAGGATCTCTCCAAAAAAGATCCATCCTAATTGCGCTGCCGTTGCTGGGGATAAAAGCATAATCAACGCCCCATAACTGGCCGGAATTTTTCCCATAGCATAGGCAAGCAATCCTTGCCCGATAACGTGCACAATCACAGCCTGACCAAAAACGCTCAATACATCCATTTTGGTGAGTGGCCAAAAACTTTCTCCAAATAACAGGCTAAAAAACAGCATACCAACAACGCAATAAAGACCCGTCCAGAACATCAATGTGCCCGTTTGCACACGGTCCCGAATTTTTTTAATACAAATCACATAAGCAGCAACTGTAACCCCAGAGACCAAAGCTGCAAGATCTCCATACAACTGGCCCAGGCTAATGGAGAAGCTCTCACTTACTAAAAAAGCACATCCGATAAAACCGCAAAAACCTCCCTAAAACAAGGCGTAAAGGCTGAGATTCCTTAAAAATAACCCACAATAAAAGGGGCACAAAAAAAGACGCCGTATTGTTAAAAAGGTTAGAATTCACAATCGCTGTATAATCAATAGACCAATTGCATAAAGCCAAATCTGCTGCAAAAAAGAAGCCAGCAAGAGCCATCACTTTGTGATCATTTTTTGATAAAGAAAAATCTGTTTTTGGCGGTATTTTTTGCTCATAACGCATCCACGCATAAACTAAAGGAAGCGCGAAAAGCATGCGGTAAAATCCTGTTGTCATGGGTCCCAAATCAGAAATCCGCACAAACACAGGAGAAAAGCCAATGGTGATTCCACCAGCACAGGCCATAAAAATCGCTGCTAAGCTTGGAATCTTTGTCGAGGGAACGAATGTTTCTTTCATGATTTAAAACTAATAACCAAATGTGCAGAAGTGATCCCTATGACCTTCATCCTATCTGTTTGATCCTCTTGATAAAGGCCAACAATTGCTCCTGAAGATTCACTATATCCTTTATCTCCTTCATCAAGAGACAATACCTTACAGGAATAATTCATATTTTTTGCGCGCTCAGCGTAAAGATCCGTCGCAACGCTTTCATTAATCTGAAACAAAAGAAAAATGAGTAACAAAACAATTTTTTTCATTCTTATTTTTTAATCCTGTTTTGAAGGGCAAAAATATCATCAAAATACTTCAGTAAATAAAGCCGAAACCACCGTGCATACGATGATGGATCATGGCAGCAGTGAGTCAAAATCGCCTCAGGCACCTGCCAAGAAATGTCCGAAACTTCTCCTATATTTGGCGTAAAGGGGCCTGTATAAACTCCTGAAAAATATGCGTTGTTTCATTTTCACTCAGCCCATTGTCAAGGTTAAGTGTATAGGAAACCTGTGATATAGGACGGACAGAACAGGTAAATCCAAGTTCCTCCATCAAACGCCGCTCCGCGGCTTGTTTTGTATTTTCTCCAGGACGCGGATGACCACAACAGGAGTTTGCCCATAACCCTGGAGAATGATATTTACAATCGGCTTTTTTCTGCATCAAAAGTTGGCCACGTTCATTATAAATCATCACAGAAAAGGCGCGATGACGCAGGCCTTTTTGATGCACCTCCATCTTTTCCCCAAACCCTTGGGGGATATCGTCACGATCCACAAGTATCAGTGTTTCTGGCATTCAAACGCTTTCTTTGAAAAGGTACGATTTATTACTTTTATCACAACTTAGCCTCTAAGCCGAGATATAAGGTGCGCCCTTTATGTCCATATCCAAAAGAATTTTCAAAAGATCGATTCAATGCATTTTCGATTCGACCAAAAATCTTCATTCTGGGAGTAATTTGATAATGTCCCCCCAAACGAACTTTCCAAATCTCTGGAAGAATGGTATTTTTCTTCAAAATGGCAATGCGATCTCTTGTCGAGCTTGTATATGTTAACTGTGCAAATGCCACTGCCTTTTCCTGATCAAAGGTGTATTTCACAGTTCCTCCAACAACATGACGTGGAAGACGTCGCGGTTGGTGGTTATTATCAAATCCATTCCTGGCCAATGTTAACGTATAATTTCCATCAAAAGAAAGCTTTCCAACTTTATGCGTCATAGAAAGCTCGATGCCATAAGCCTTGCGATTTGAGTTCTGAGCCTGCCAAGTACCATCGTCTAACTGCACTCCTTCCACTAGATCTTTTAAGGAAAGGAAAAATAGCGCTCCAGAAAAAGAAGTATTTCGCATCATTTGATGAGAAAGGCCAAGGTCTACATGCACACTATATTCTGGTTTGAGATCAGCGTTTGCCTTTGCAAGATTTCCCCCAATAATATCTTCAGGAGACGGGGTCTTAAACCCTGTAGAAACACGCCCGTAAAGCGTTGTGTTGCCTGAAACCTCATACTGCCCTTTCACATGCCACGTTGTAACATTTTTAAAATCTTGAGGATGGTCATGACGCACCCCCAAATTCATACGCCAACGCTCCCATGGCTCAAACTCATAGAGAGCATAAGCTGCCCCAGATCGATTCGAATGGTCTGAATCAAAAGAGTTTTCTAACGATTGAGATCGCCACTCTAAACCTGTTGTGAGCCTATGCCCACAATACACATCCCCTGTTAGTTCATAGCGTGCCACAATGTTATGACTATGCGCCGCAAACAGAGGATTATCTTTTGAAACTCGATATTTCCCTCGAAAATAGAGCCCTTGAACTTTGTGTGTCCAACGATGGTGCGGAGAATCAAACTGTCCCGTGACTCCCAAAGCTAAACGGCGCGTTTCTTGAACTTGATCTGAAATCACAGGCGGGGCTTTACCTCCATCATCTATTCTCAAGCTATCTTGTTGCCAAAAAGAAGTGACCGTAATCCGAGCATGAGATGTTGGATTTAAACGCAGTGAAAAAATTCCTTCATAGCCTGAAAAATCGTCTGCCTGTTCATTTCCATGTTTTTTGTTAATAAACGACCCTTTTCCTTGGGTATGTGCACCGGCACTCATTTGAAAAGCGCCTTTCCCATTTTCAAAAGTATGGTGAATTTTACTATGCCCTCTCAACGTGTGATCATTTCCAGTCTCCCCATGAAAAAGGAGGTTTGGGGATTCTGAATGACTCTTACTTGCAAGAGTCGATAAATGAACGAAACCTCCCATAGCTTGCGGACCATAGCGTACAGATTGAGACCCTTTTTCCAACAAAATACTCTCGAAGCTATAGGCACTGAGTGTCCCAAAATCGAAAACACTTTGTCCTTCAGGGCTATTTAAAGGAATACCATCAAGCAAAACCAACGTGTGTTTTGCTTTCCCACCACGAATAGAAACTGTGCTTGTTCGACCATTATCTCCCAAAGAATCGATAGAAGCGCCCGTCACATAAGACAAAGCTGATTCAAGGGATTGCAGCTGGAGTTGTTTAACTTCTTTTTTCTGAATTAAATGTTGAGAGGGGGTATTTTTTTTAGGTAAAGGGAAAATGGTCACTTGAGGATCAAACTGCGCATATCCCCTCATAGAAAGAAAACTGGAACAAAAACATAGTAAAATAAAAAAGCGCATAGGACTCCTCCGCCTTTGGAACACCAAACAAAATTGTGTCACCAATACGGAAGGCCCGATTCCCTACGCACACCCCGGCATAGAGTCGATGACAGACGCGTGGTAGGTCTCCTGGCTTTGCATCAATGCGACTTTCTACCGCCCTTCCCGAAATCATTTCAGTGGGACAAAATTGTGCAGAAAGTGCTCAGCAGTACAGTTGCGGGGGCAGCTACGGATTTGAACCGTATTCCCTTAGCACCATGCATCAGTTTGGGAAAACTAGAAAAAAAGTCTGTAACAGACAAGAAAAAAATATGCTAAAAGCTAAAACTATGATGCCACAGCAAAAAGAAACCCTCATACCTGCAGAAAAGCCTCATCTTTATTTGATTGATGGGTCAGGCTTTATATTTCGTGCATATTATGCCCTCCCCTCCATGAATCGGCCCGATGGCACTCCTGTTAATGCTGTTTTTGGTTTTTGCAATATGCTGATCAAACTCTTACAAGAGGCAAAAGCTTGCCACTTAGCTGTTGTCTTTGATACAGCAAAAAAGAACTTTCGGCATGACCTTTACACAGACTATAAAGCCAATCGTCCACCCCCTCCTGAAGATTTGATTCCCCAATTTGATTTGGTCCGTGAGGCGTGCGCGGCGTTTTCTGTTCCTTCCATCGATAAAGAAGGATTTGAAGCAGATGATTTGATCGCAACCTATGCGCGACATGCTTCTACCGATGGAACCCATGTCACGATTGTCTCTTCTGATAAAGACCTCATGCAGCTTGTAACCGATGGGATCGATATGCTTGATCCTTTAAAAAACCGATTGATTCAAGAGCCAGAAGTCCAAGAAAAATTTGGCGTCAGCCCAGAACAAGTGATTGAAGTGCAAGCCCTTGCCGGGGATTCTTCTGATAACGTCCCCGGCGTTCCAGGAATTGGTCTTAAAACAGCGGCACAACTGATTACAGAGTTTGGTTCTTTAGAAAATCTTTTAAATAAAACTGATCAAATCCGCCAACCAAAGCGCCGACAAATGCTTGAAAAACATGCTGAAGATGCACGAATTTCAAAAGAACTTGTCAAATTGAAAGACGATGTCCCCCTTTCCAAAACTTGGAAAGACTTTCAAAGAGAAACACCTAAAACTGAAACTTTGAGAACTTTCCTAGAAACCCAAGGGTTTCAAAGACTTTTAAGGCGCCTTGAAAACAATGGCTTGAATTTAGGTGAAAGTAATACAGCAGGTTCTCAAAAAGAACAAAATACGACTGGTCCCTCTACAAATAAGTCCGCTCCTCAATATCAACTCATTCAAGACGAAGTCGCTTTAAAAGCTTGGGTTACAAAAGCTCAAATGACTAGCGTTATTACTATTGATACAGAAACAACGTCCTTAAATGCCATGTCTGCAGAACTTGTTGGGATTTCTCTCAGCCATAAAACAGGCGAAGCGATCTATATTCCAATAAACCACAAACAACAACGTCAAGAAGGCTTAGGACTTGAAGACACTTCTCAAAGGCCAAGTAATCGTCCAGAAAGTTTTCACCAACTTCCCTTAAAAACCGTTATTGAGACCTTACAATCTCTTCTGCTCAATCCTGCGATTTTAAAAGTTGGGCAAAATATAAAGTATGACCTTCTTGTCCTTGGTGAACATGGTCTGAAGGTTTCTCCTATTGAAGATACCATGGTCTTATCCTATGTGGTGGATGGGATGCGCCATGGTCATGGCTTAGACGACCTTGCTCAGCGCCACCTGGAACACACCATGATTTCCTACACTGATGTGACGAAAGGGACAGGTAAAAAAGCCGTTACTTTCGACTATGTCCCTCTTGATATGGCAAGAGACTATGCCTGTGAAGATGCGGATATTACCTTACAACTATACGAAATCCTAAAACCGCAATTGGCCTCAAGTGGTATGGTACGTGTCTATGACACCCTAGACCGTCCTCTCATTCCTGTGCTTGTCGCAATGGAACAAGCAGGTGTTCAAGTTGACCCTCTTTTATTGAAGCAAATGAGCCGAGAATTTGAAGAACGCCTCAACGAGCTAGAAAAAGAAGTTCACAGCCTTGTCGACCAAGAATTCAACGTCGCGTCTCCAAAGCAAGTCGGCGAAATTCTTTTCGATGTTTTAGGCCTTGAAGGAGGCAAGAAAAGCAAAAAGACAGGGGCGTATACAACAGGCGCAGATGTCTTAGAACGCCTTGCCAACGAAGGGCATGACGTCCCTGCTCGTATTCTAGAATGGCGAAAGCTTGCTAAACTTAAAAGCACGTACACAGATGCTTTTCCCAAACAAATCAACCCAAAAACAGGACGCGTTCATACATCTTATTCTCTGGCAAGTACATTAACAGGGCGCCTCTCTTCCAGCGATCCTAATCTTCAAAATATCCCGATTCGTGGAAAAGAAGGCAAACGGATTCGAGAAGCCTTTGTGGCCCCAAAAGGGCAGTGTCTTTTCTCTTTTGACTATTCTCAAATCGAAATTCGCCTACTTGCCCATGTTGCGGATGTAAAACCTTTAAGAGAGGCATTAAAACATGGCGATGATATTCACGCGCTCACTGCCTCTCAAGCGTTCGATATTCCCCTATCTGAAGTGACTCCAGAGCTTCGATCCCGCGCAAAGGCTATTAACTTTGGAATTATTTATGGGATCAGTGCTTTTGGCCTTGCACGTCAATTGAATATTGGACGCAGCGAAGCGGCAACCTATATCAAAAACTACCTTGAGCGTTACGACGGTATTGCACGATATATGGAAAACAAGAAACAAGAAGCCCAAAAGCAGGGATATGTCACAACATTGCTAGGGCGACGATGCTATATCACAGGGATCAGCGATAAGAATCCGATGCGCCGCCAATTTGCTGAACGTCAAGCGATTAATGCCCCCCTCCAAGGAGGAGCTT